TGAAATGGGGATCTTCATACTACATTACCTCTATTTTAAAGTGGGTTTAAACCCATGACCTAGTTTTAATTGACACACATACGTAATGTGCTTCTTTTTGCCAGAAGACATTATGAGTCACAAGACAGATGCCAATTTCAGAAATATTAAATTGTGACCAAATGCCATCTAAGAAATAGTGGATACTGTGCAGCCTCTGCCTAATGAGCCGCTGGCCATCAAGGGACTGGCACCGGGTTTGGCATGTACCTGGGTTTCAGTGAGTGAGGCTGCCTGCATTGCTGTTATTCCTGGGACAACAAGGAACTGCAGAGTCAAAGCGCTGCCATCAGTTGGGTCACATCTGAGTGAGGAATTCACACAATGAGTGATGAAGTGACAGGGAAGCCTAAATGCTACTCCTTAGCTTGCTGATTTCGGGGGACACCCCAAAACATCATCAGAGTCAGAGCTAAACGTTTATGAGGAAATTGTTACATTTTTCATTTATTTTTATCCAAGATTAATTTCCTACCAAGTTAATCTCGTAGCCAGTCAATGATCACATCACAATGAATGCATTTTTTCTTCCTGTATGACATCCGGCCACGAGGTAATGCTCACAGAAGCTGGCCGAGTGTACACTCCCCCCACCCTCTGGTCACTGGCTTCAGGAAGAAGGGGTCTGCTCGTCAGGGTCGTCTGGGGCCAGGCCATCACTGAAAACACTTTTTCCCATCCGCTGGTCCAGGTTCTCTGTTGGCAAGCACGCAGGCAGGCAAGCATTCAGGGCTCAGAAACAAACCACGGCTGCCAGATGGCATCCGCTCATCTCTGCTTCACGTGTGGAGGCCAAGTGGGCCTCGGAGCGGACCTGCAAGTCCACGATTCTGCAGCTGGAGGCAGGCAATCCTGCGCTGGGCAGGGGCTCTGAGAAGCGCTTACACCACACAGCCGGGGCACACTCAGCACCCTTCCTAAATCATACCTCTTTTTTTTTTTTCCAAAATGCGTGTGCAAGCTCTTCCCAGAAACACCACCTTGCCAGTGCTTTCACTTTGCCCTTGCAGCTTCAAAAAAACAGCAATGAGTGTTTTACACACACAGCTGAGACCTGCACGCACAGGGGATCTGGCTGGATTGAAATCCCGCAGGGTAAAGATGCCTATTGAAATCGGGCCATCACGGACTTTTCAGCTGTTAGAAAACAGCCTGTGCTCATTGTGACGAGAATAAGGATGACCGTGATGGCCATCCTGTCCCTTAGACAGCCCTGCTCCCCCTGTGGTTCAGAGCTAAAACCATCTCTGCTTCCAGATTCTGCAGGGGAACCCCAGAAAATAATAAAGGTATTTTCTGAAAAACTCCTTAGTCTGTGGCATAAACCTGGAGCACTGACATGTATAGCTTGAGGCTTATTTTTAGATCCTCTAGAGAATGAATGTGTGTGAGAGAGAGTCGGAGAGAAAGAGCAGAGAGAGAACGGTTTAAATCATAATAACTTCATAAAACAGAGTTTTCTTGTAATATTCTTTGGTAATGTTGAGCTGAAAATAGATTTACAATCAAAATGGGCTTAATCTGATATTAAAGAATTCTCTTAAAATCCCCCAAACAATTGAGATTTTCCCCCCTTTGGTTTGTTTTGCGTTAGCTCCTCCAAGAGGCTGTGGATATAAAGAAATATACTGACATTAATTATAATAAGATGAGTCTTATATTGGTTAGCGGAGGCAGTTTCAGCTCCAGATATGCTACCAATGGCCTTTGTGTTTAACTGAGAGGGTGCCTACCACCCAGAGAGACAGGAGACTCCCCAAGGGACAGGACACTGCCTGATACGGGGCCTTTTTGACAATAACAGACAGCGAAGTGGATGCTTTCCAAGGTTAATACATATTTCTGCACCCACAGCCAAAACATTTGAAAGGGTTAAAAATCTAGGTCTTCCCTGGGGATGTGGCACTGGACCCTAAGGTTCTGGCCTAGTCCTTGGGTGACTCAGATCAGAAACTGGGAAACTGATAAATTTTAGAAAAAATCTCCACTAGAACAAGTGCCCAGTCTCTTCTGGAAGACAGCCTTGGCATCAAAATTGCATTATTTTTGCTTGGTTCTTTGTCCTCATGGAGGTCTTTTCATGTCTGGGGAGTGAATCCATTTCACTGCAAGGCTATTATTCAGTTGATGAGGGCTAATAAAAATTCTTAATTAAAAATAATTGTATTAATGATATCATAATCATGAGCTGTAATTCCTAGTTTTGCATATAGAATCATTTGATTTTGAAACAAATCATCACCTAGCTCTCAGTCGGCTTCCTATTGACCAAATTAATCACATAGGAGAGAATATTTTGATGCTGCAGCCAATTTTCTTTATGATTCACAGCATCTTAGGAGCTCCTGGTTTTGATGTAACCATGATACATGGTCTTGTCTCCATACCTGCATTTGCTTGCCTGCAGCAAAGACCCTGATGAACCCAACTCTTTGCAATTTGGTGAGAGACATCTGCATCTGTCTCTGGTGAAGCTCCACCATGATTCACACGGGCCATAGTATCTCTCCCACCACTTTCTGTGTCTTTACAATCAGATGATGCTTTGGGACACAGACAAGGAGCCACTGTAATTGCTCTAATATGACCATTGTTGCGTGACCAGAAGGTTTAATTTTTTCCAAACTGTTCCCGGCTCCCATTGCTACAGACCATGCTTTTCTTTGGTACATGGAGGGAAAACTTCCTAAGAGCAGGAGGTACAAGCGGAGACCCAACCAGGACTGTTGGTGGTCCCGGTGGTCCACACAGGGGTCTTTGGAGAAGATTCGAAGATGAAGCTTCTGCATGCTCACCTCGAGTTCTTAAGGATGCCCTTTGCCCTGAAGTTTTGGAGTCAGAGGTGCAATGCCTGCTCCCGTGACTTTAAAGGCAAATCATGAATTCAGAGGAGTGTCACACGTGATTGATGGCTCTGAAAAGTGAGAGGCGACTAAGAAATGAGTAAGCTGACTATTCCAGGCAGAATGTTGAATTTTTTTTTTTTTTTTAACTCTAATGATTTCATGTAAATCTGTCTTGGCTATAGCGGGTTATGAATAAACTCAGGGCCAAATTCTTAGTCATTCAAAGGTTCTGAGATTTTAAATTGTGTATCACCTGCTGTCAAGGAAGGATTCTAAGAGGATTACTGCTTTAGAGCTGCTTGGCTTTTGGCGCTTGCCCCAGTACTTTATGACGTCTGGCAAGAGTGCCGGTGGAGAACCATTTGCTTCTAGTGACTCTGGGAGTGGCATTCCACCCCTGAGGACCTGTGGGCAGAGTGGAGGGAAGAAACCCTAGCTGCTGAAAGCTTCTTGAGTCTCATTGTTTGGATCTTGGCAAAGGACCTCAGATTACAAGTACAGCTGTAGTGGGTTGAATTGTATCCCACCCTATCCACCCCCCACAATAAAAAGATATATATCTTCCCAGAATCTATGTATGTGACCTTATTTGACTAAAGGGTCTTTGCAGATGTAATTAACTGAAGACTCATTGAAAAGAGATCTTACTTGATTTAAGGTGAGTCTCAAATACAAGGACAAAAGTCCTACTAAAAAGAAGAGGAGGGACTTCCTCAGTGGTCCAGTGGTTAAGAATCTGCCTTACAATGGTAAAGGATATGGGTTCAATCTCTGGTCAGGGAAGTAAGATACAGCATTCCATGAGCATCTAAGCTTGAGTGCCACAACTAGAGAGACTGCGAGCCACAGTAAAAGTTCCTACATGACGCAAAGACGATCAATCCCATGTGTGACAACTAAGACCCAATGCCCCAAACAATAAATATTTTTTTAAGAACAGTGGGACAACAGAGATGTGTAGCAGGAAAGTCTCATGAAGATGGAAGATGGAGGCAGCCCAGGAGTGATGCCTTTAAAAATGAAGGACACCGAGGACCACCAGGAGCTCCTGAGGAGCCGGGAGGGAGGCAGCGGACAGATCCTCTCTCAGAGCCTGCAGAGGAAATTCACTCCGCTCAGACCTTGGATCTGTACTTCTGGCCTCTAGAACCTCGAGGGAATACAGAGAGAGCTGTGGTTTTAAGCCGCCCGTTTGTCTGCGGTCATTTCTCTGGCAGCCCCAGGAAACGAACATGCTGTCTCTAATTGGTGTTCTGGCCACTTCCGTCTCTATGAGAATTTTAAGTGAATGTAATATTTCCTTCCCCAGGTTTCTGTACCACGTATCTGAAACACAGGTTCATTTCAGCAGGTAGATTTCTGTTGGCTAAAGGATGCCTCTATGTTCTGTAGCCCCATTTACACCACCTCGGACCTCAAGGGCACCTTAGTATGGCTTCTGCCTTAGGTCAGGTTCCCTGAAGCAGAGCCTGAGGCAGGGTTTCAGATGTTTGTGGCTAATTGCAGGAATGAGCTTCTGGAAACACCTTTAACAGGAGAACCAGGAGCAAGATAAGAAAGGAGGAGGTGAGAAAGGATTCTGGTCTCAGCTAAAGCCTGGCCAGCCCTGGTCCAGCGGTGGGAAGTGGAAGGGAGCTATGGAGCATATATCACATTCCCCACCAGACTCCTTGCTGGGTAAGGACAGCGCACCAGTGGGGTAGTGCCAGGCAGTTAGGAAAATGAGGTATGGGTCCTCGTCGAGGAGTTTGGTATTTGGAGATTATGGAAGCTACGAGAAAATGGGATGTTTCTGTAAAGTTTTAAGGCAGTCTAGCTCAAGGCTGGATTTCAGATACTAGACCACTCCCCAGGCTCTAACCTTTAGCAAGTTGCTTGAAGTACATTTGCCTCAATGTTTTCATCTGGAAAATGGGAGTTCTAAGGCCCTTGTGAAAATCAAAGGAAGATAGTGAAATGCTGTTTGTGCCTGGCCCGTGGTGTGTGCTTGGAGAGTTTTAGCTGCAAAGAGCCTAGAAGGGTGCCTGGACTCTTGCAGGAGCCCCATAAGCATCTGCTGAATGAGACCTTGTGTCGTGTTGTGCAACTTCACACATACACTTTACATTCGAGGACTTTATGTCTTTGTGTTTGTTTTAATATAAGATGATTTTTCTTTAAATGCACATTATTATGGTAGTTGCTCCAGGAGAGTGTGTCTGGTTGGCATTCTGTGTAGCCTCCCAGGGTCCTTGTGGGTTCATGGGATGTGATCTCTTCTCTGTGCCTGATGCATCCAGCTGAAAAAGAGGACTTGGGATGGGATTTTGCAGGTCCAGGCTTGGTCTACAATGACACATTTCACATATGTTAAAAGATCTTCAAGGTCAGGGCTTTTTTTTTTTTTTTTAATGCCAGAGACAGGGGAAGCGGGCCAGGCCACGGTGGCGGGTTTACATGTTGCTGTCCAAAGCTCTTCTAATGAAGCAGGAGTGCTATAAAGTCCAGGATGAAAGAATGAAAACAGTTAGAAGATCCAGGTTGTAAATCTCTGCTCACAGTGGTAGACCTTCTGATACTCAACTAGTGGGATGAGGTGTCAGTCTATTTTTTCCTGTCTCATAGTTAGCCATTTCCCTAAAAATATAGCCTCATTGTGTGCCTCGTGGAATATTACTATGGGATTGAGTAATAAAAGAAACGTCATTATAAATGTGTGTAATGGAACAAAGGAGGTTGCCATGGGAACCTGGACTATTAATTTCCAGAAATTTCTGAGTCTGATTCATGAACTTAATGTTGCAAGGACCTAGCTGTTGTACTAAACAAAGATAGAATGCCATTTTAGATATCACCTTTCTAACTAAAAATCCCCAAATGCTTTTTAAAACATTCTGAGATATTTTGTCAAGGCCATGTACAGACATGAGAGTTGGATCGTAAAGAAGGCTGAGTGCTGAAGAAATGATTCTTTCAAACTGTGGTGCTGAAGAAGACTCATGAGAGTCCTCTGGACAGCAAGGAGATCAAACCAGCCAATCCTAAAGGAAATCAACACTGAATATTCATTGGAAGGACTGATGCTGAAGCTGAAGCTCCAATATTTCAGCCACCAGATGCAAAGAGCCGACTCATCGGAAAACACCCTGATGCTGGGAAAGACTGAAGGCAAGAAGAGAAGGTGATGACAGAGAGTGAGATGGTTAGATGGCATCACTGACTCAATGGACATGGAGTTGAGAAAACTTCGGGAGATAGTGAAGGACAGGGAAACCTGGAGTGCTGCAGTCCGTGGGATTGCAAAGAGTTGGACACAACTGCGTGACTGAAAGAGAACAACAGCAAAGATAATTTGATGGTGTATGGTAAAGCACTTAATTGACACCAGTTCAGTTCAGTCACTTGGTCGTGTCCTTGACATCCATACACATGTGGATAAGCAAAAACAAGGACTCCAACTTTCCAGTGGTGATACTGCATGCCAGAGCACACATACAAGCAGACTTCTGTATGTGGGGTTTTAGCAAAGTTCAAGCTTTTTCAGGTTGCTCCCTGGATGAGAAGCATACTGTGTGTTGTGCTGCAAACCTGGAAGACACACAGCTACTGAATGAGCCCTAGGTCTTTCCTCACAACAGAACTGAACCTCTGATAAAAGTGAAAGTGTTAGTCACTCAGTCATGTCCAATTCTTTGTGACTCCATGGACTGTAGCCTGCCAGTCTCCTCTATACATGGGATGTCCCAGGCAAGAACACTGGAGTGGGTAGCCATTCCCTTCTCCAGGGGATCTTCCCAACCCACAGATCAAAACCCAGTTTCCTGCATTGCAGGCATATTCTTTGCCATCTGAGCCATCAGGAAAGCTCTAAACCTCTGATAAGAGGTTCCCAATCCAAACCCAGAAGCTCCTGAGATCTGTTTTTGGAAGGAGATCAAATTAGACAGGGGAAGAAGCAAAGAAAAGTGAAAGAGAACTGAGAGGATTCTTGGTTCACAAACTACCTCCATGTGCCTTTGGAGATTCAAGAAGGAACTTCAAGTTGGGCTCTCATATCTGGGGGTGACCATGACTCTTTTTTCTTTCTCCAGGAAGCGCCTTGACCTTCCACATGGGCAAACTTTCAGAAGCTAGTCCAAGGACTCTGAGGTTCAAGCATGAAGGTTTCAGGATGGCCATGATTGTTCCAGCAAATTCTAAGCATGCATGCTTCCCATGATGTCCAGCCATCAGTGAGGCAGTGACAATGGTTTGGGCAAGGGGCTGACTCCCTGACCCACAGCAGGATGTCTGTTCAGTGACAGTCTGGCTTCTTCTCTCCGGTTTGATTAGAAGGCAAATACAAACTGCTCCTGGGAGACAGTGTTATGGAATGCCCTGCTCAAGGTATCCATAATTCATCTGCTTCAGAAATTCCTGCTCTGGAGCCCACAGCATCCAGAGAGGGATTCTAGAGCCAGGAATCTAGAAGAATGAGGAGCCAGGAGCAAATATTCCACGAGACACATGGACACTTAACTGACTCATGAACCATGCTCGAGGAACATTATCATCCCCTGTAGGCTACCTGGGGACATAGCAGGCATGTGTGCTGGGGCCTTCCACACCAGAAACACCCATGGAGCAGCTAAAAAGGTGATGCACTGGAATGAAACTTTGTATGTTTTGAGGGTAGGTGGACCAATGGTCAGGCAGGGGACAGGAAGGCGGCTGGTCCTTGAAGAGGCAGGTGTCAGAAGCAGAGGCCTTCCTCCCAGGAATAGCTGGAAACTCAGCCACACTCCCAGGACTTGTCGTATTTGATTTGGAGGAGCTGGGAAATACTCTATCTTCTCAATTAGTATGTCTTGAATGTTTGAATAAATGAATGAAAGTCACCATTAAAACATAAGTAATTAGAAGTGAAAAATGTAGACATGTGTACTGTGTTGGGCTTCTCCAGTGGCTCAGCAGTAAAGAATTCGCCTGCAATGCAGGAGACATAAGAGACACCGGTTCTATCCTTGGGTCAGGAAGACCGCCTGGAGGAGAGCATAGCAACCCACTCCAGTATTCTTGCCTGGAGAATCCCACAGACAGAGGAGCCTGGCAGGCTACAGCCCATTTGGGTCACACAGAGTCGAACACAACTGAAGCTATCATCTGAGCACACACACATGCATGCATGTATTCTGTGTTACCTTGGCAAGTTCCAAAGTGCTCACCCTGCTCGGGAGTAATTCTGCTCAGATTAACCTTGGTTAGATGTTACATGCAAGGCCGTGAGCATGTCACTGGGGTGTCCATGAATCTCAGCCTCTGCCTTCAAGGAGCCCTTGATCGGGTGCTTAGGCAGACATGCCTTTGGCTTGAGGACTGAGGTGATGACACAGGTCATTCTGCCCCTGAGCAGAGGGTTAAGGATGCCCATGTGTGAAAAGCCCCAAAGCACAGAAAAACTGTGTGAGACTCAGCACAGCTTCCTAAACGCCAAGCATAGAGCATGTATCTCCCTCTTCACTGCAGTCAAAATTGATGGGGTGGGGATGGGAGGTAGGGAGATGGGGGTGGGTTTGTCCTAGACACAGCAGGTTCCAGGCTGAGCCCAAGTTCCCTGGAACTTCGCCAGCCAGATGGCAAAGGGCAGTCGGGGGTGATGGAGCGAGGGTACCCTGATATCTTATGGCACTGCTTTTCCTAAAGTTGAGATTCAGCATCTGAAGGACATCGTTGTTGCCCAAGAGACCCAGGAATGCTAGGTGGCCTGAATCCACTCACCAGTCAGTACTGAACATGAACCAGAACCTACCCCTCTTCGCAGCTCCCCTGACTCCCAGCAGAATGTTCTTTGTAGTGTTCTCATGTGTGGGAACCATGTCCAGGGCTTGTCCTCAAAAGGACGCCGTGGAAAATAACTTGAATTAGGGCCATGCTCTCCTTCAGGTGGCCTGCGTCAGTTAGAAAAGGCAAAACTGTCACGTGCATCATGCTCTCTGGGTCTTAGTCTTCAGGGTGAAGGCAGTGTTGTTTCTAGGTGGCAGTAGGCTCTAGGTGTGAGCAGACTTCCCACTAGGGCACAGACCCTCAGTGCTAGTTCAGCCAAGGACTAGGGTACCGTGTGGCGAGCCCCTTTACAGGTTTCCACGGACTCCATTTTATACCTTTCCCTTCGGTGTCACTGGAGAAGGAAATGGCAACCTACTCCATGGAGAATCCCAAGGACAGAGGAGCCTGACAGGTTACAGTCTATGGGCTCACAAGAGTCAAACATGACAGCAACTAAGCACAGCTTTCGTGTCACCCTGAAGATGGCATTTCAGTGATCAGACCGGGGGGTTTTCTAGTTCCACGGTTGTCCCCACATTTTAATCCAATCCTCCCCCGTCTCCACCTTGCTTATCAAAGGGTCCTCACCCCTGCCAGACACTTGCCGAGTAAGGAGCTTGCGGGGATCCCAAGGAGGCCGTTAGAATATTTCCTCTGAAGACCCCACACCTAACTCGGTGAGGTCCTCACCCAGGAACCTTTCTTCCATCCTCCCTGACAGGACAGGGTGAACCCAGACTCTCTTTCCTGAGACATTTACATCCCTAAGGTCAAAGCCCCTGGAAGAACCCCAGACTCTTCTCCTCACCTGGAAAAATGTGCGGGTTCCTCACCTGGAAAAACGTGCGGGTTCCTCACCCTCTTTCATCCGAGACCCCCTCCTTCAGACAGATGACGGTTTGCCAGGGCGTTTTCGAGCGCGCTGCTCAGACCTGGAGGCAGGTGTGATGGGCCCGTAGGTGGACGTCAATGGCGGCGCTCCTCTGGGTTTTGGCGACCTTCTCCCGCCGGCCCCGAGGGCCACAGGGCTGTGCGGGCGCATGCGCGCAGGCTCGTGGGCGCATGCGTGCCGGCGAGTGCGCGAGGCGGCCCGGCAGGCGCGGCGGCGGCAGGCAGAGCCCCCTGACGATTCGTGTACTTCCCGATTCCCTGTGATGCGTTAGAGAGACAAGAAGGCAAAGCCGGCTGATACAATGGTGGTTTCCTCAGGACTCCAGGACTGAATTAATTGTGTACACCTTGAGGAAAGAGTGGAGGAAACAATAGGAAAGCTCCCTTTAAAGTCATCTTATTAAGGGAGAAGCAGCCTGGCCTCTCTCTCGCAGGGAACCTCCGATCTGCCTTATCAAACACAAGGTGCTTGCCAGATGCAACAGGTTCCTTCCTCCAAAGCTGTGTTCTTACATTCTCACACCCCCTGTAGGCTTTGAAATCAGTGTTCAAAGTGGACTTTCTGAATTCATGAAAACCCACAGGTCTGTAATCCATCCCTAATGGAAGTCAAACATGACACCGGCGAGATAAAACACGGTGGCCTCCCCCTCTGTTCACAGTAGGTGTCTGCGGATAATAAATATTTTATTTTACTACAAAAACAAATAACTAAACATACCCCCTGTGTTTGTTCTGAACTCGACAGTAGCTTTTGTGAGTTTACTCTATTTCAAAGCCGAGCAAGGAAACCAGAGCGTCACGTCGGCAACTGGGTGCGCTCATGCAAAAGGAAACCAAAGCTGCTTTCATTCTCTACAAACCGAGTATTACAGGATGCCAGTCTGTGCCCCTACGTGGAGGGACTTGTTGGCCCTGTTCGGCCAAGTCCTGATTTTGGGAGCAAACAGGAGCCACCACAGAAACAGGCAAAGAGTAATGATGTTTGGCATTCATTATCTCTTGACCTAAGTGGTTATGATCAACGCTCCATAACCAACCTTCACCGAGAAAATAGCAACACGTTGACTGACTTGGTGCCCTGTGAATTTCACCTTCCTATACCCAAGATGCATCTGTCCTATGTCCTCTGGTCCTTCTAGAACAGAGAATGATGGGTCAAATTCTCAGGCTACCAGTCTCCAGGAGGATTCAAGACCAACTTCAATGAAAATCACCTCGTTTCATGGTCTTCATCAGGCTGTAGCAATACTATAATGATAGAATTTTAATGGTTTCAAGAAGTACTTCTGATAAGTGACAAGCTTTAAATCAAATTGGTGATTGAGTGAATAAAGTGGGCAATACTGGATATTTGTCTGTTGATGCTGCTAACTTTATGACTGTTTATGATTTGTCTGCTTTGTGAATCGTCTGAGTTGGTGACAACACTGATAATTCTTCTGGAATGTTATTTGACCTTCTGCTTCTCTGGTCACGTTGCTATGACTTAAGGGTTGAGGGGAGTTTTTCATGGGACAAAGTCTCCAGTGCGTTTGTGTAAGCTAGTGGCCACATAGAATACAGCTCCTGGAATTCAGTGTAGCGGTGACCAGAGTTAGGGGGGACTGTAGGCCAGGTCTGAGTGAAAAGTATTAGCAGTAGCATTATGTTTTGCCTTCATTTTAGTCTTCCTGTCCCACCATTTCTTTTGGTTTCAGAGTATACAGATCTGTGTGAATTCTCAGAGTAGTACAGAAGAGCAACCCAACAGAGTGTCAGCAGGGCATATCCTCAAAACCTCTGCTCTACCTCTATAATGATTGACTGTGCACATCAACTCAGAGGGTGTTTGGGGATGAGATTAGCATGCAATTCAAAGAACTTTGAGTAAAGCAGATTGCCCTCCCTCATGTGGTGGGCTGTGTCCAACCGGTTGAAGGCCTGAATGGAACAAAAAGATGGACTTTCCTGAGCAGGAGGGAATTCTCCAGCAGACTGCCTTCAGATTGGACCTGCACCACAGCCTCTCTTGGGCCTCTAGCCTGACAGCTCACACTGCAAATTGGGTCTTGCCAGTCTTTCCAATTGTGTAACCCAACCCTTTATCATAAATCTCTTTCTCTTTATATACACGTTTTATTGGCTCTGTTTCTCTGGAGAACACTGACTAATATGACCTCCCAGCCAAACCCAATAAGAATTAGATGCTATCTAATAAGAATAACATGGTTGCTGGCTTATCCTTAGTGGATTCTACTTAAGGCTCCAGGAGCCCAAGGAAATGTCTATTTTGATTTTACTGAGCTTTCTCAGTGCAATGCGCCCCCTGCTTCAGCCTTTATTCACCCAGTATGTGACACAGTGAAGATCATACCATTTTGAATTCATTGCAACCAGTTGCTACTGACATCAATGGCATTTTTTGCTGAGTGCTTCTTTAAAGGGCACTTCAAGAGAAAGAGAAAGATACTCTGACTCTTTTTAAAGGAAAAGATAAAGAAATTATTGTGTTTCATTTTTTGCAGTGGCTTCTCTGAAGCTCCATTTCAAATTTGGTGTTGAATTACAGGATCTATATAGTTTCTTACCAAAAACATGTTCTTCCTCCTCTTTTCCTTGTCAGCATTGCCTTTTCCCACTTTGTTTTCTTTTTCCTCCCCCCACTTTGTTTTCTGTCTCCAAGTGGCTGACATGATTTGGAAGAGATGATGCAGAAAGAAGTAACAGTGGCTACAGCTCTTGTTTGGAGTCCTCCCTTCATCCTTCTCGCTCTTGTTCTCAGCCTGGGATTATTGCTGTGGGCTCTGCTCCAGGGGTTCAGACAACAAGGACTCGCGACAGGAGGTTGGAGGGTGGCTGGACAGAAGGATCAGGATGGTTGCTCTCCCTGTGAGGTCCCTCAGGCTGGCTGTGTCCCCCTGACAGGACCTCCCTGTTCTGTCAAGCTAGGGTCTGACCTCATCTGTCTCCCTGCTTCCCACAGCTGGCCACTGTTCCCCCTCCTCATTTGTTTGGGCATCAAGATAGTAATGGCTCTATTGTAGGGGGTCCTCACAGTATCCCCCATGGTTTCCAGTTCCCTCCACCCCCCACATCTCTGTAATTAGATCCTTTGTCAATAAGCTCTCCTTGAATTGGCTTTGCAGGGGCAGCAGTGATAAGTGGACTCAATGGAGCTTTTTCCCAGAGGCCTGGGGAAAATGTCTCTGCCCAGGGCTGCCTGGGGGCATGATGGACCAATGGCCCCAAAGAAACCTAGGTGTCCTGTGGTCCCCTGCCTGGCAGCTGGCTGGATGATGGTGTCTGGAGGGGACCCTTTGTGGAAGGACCTCTCTTCAGCCCACCGTAGGCCAGTTCTCCCTTGCTTCAGATGGGCTCTGATGTGGGGAAGAACAGTCTGCTGGGCAGTATCTCTGCTGGACAACCTCTGGGCCACGCAGAAAGGTGTCTGATGGCACACACCAGACCCTGTGTGTACCTGGCCACTTGTTCCTCATGTGGATCGATCTGAGCGGAATGGTGTCCCACTGACTGTCCTAAGTTCCCCAAGCAGGCTGGCCCACACAGTCTGTGTTCTATGTGTTTAACTAAGACCCTAAATATTCCTTTAATACAGTTTGGGGAACTTTTTTTATGTATTCCGATGGTTTATATCATCATTCTTACTGTACTAAAATTTACATGCCCTTTTTAAAAAAAAAATAATATTGTCATGTAAATTTTTGTAAGCTCCAGGGTTATTTTATGACCCATAAACTGAGACAATATATTAAAATCTTGGAAGAATTTAAAATCAGCAGCAGATTATCCTAAAAAAGAAAAACCCACACCTAATTCCTGGGTATTAAAGAGACAGAGGGGTATCAAGTATGTTAAAAGGTTTAATAGCTGTTAGTAAATTTTACTGCTGATGTCAATAACTGCATAATATATTGGGCTAGTTAATAGGTCAATGGAACATATTTATATCTTGCTATAAACTGTTTACCCAAGAACAAACTAATTTCTAATGATAATGAAACACGGAGTCAATAAATATTAATTTTAGCATTTCTAATTTAAATACAATTTTTTACATCTGCCATAAATGTTGGGCTGGCAGCATTAAGACATATATTATTGGTTTTGTGTACCAAGGGCAAGTGTGTTAAGAACTTGCTGTGATATTTGGCCTGTAACACAATGTTTGTGAGTGATACTGCCTTCAAGGTATGCAATTCTTTATTTTTCTATTAAATCCATAATATACTAATGATGCATCTAAAATTTTTGTTCAGCCCTTATCCATTTTAATGTATCTTTAAAAAATAAGCATATTTTAAACGCATCTTTAAAAATGGTACCTTTTAAAATCATGGCGTGTTCTTACACTGAACACATTTTGAATTCACAGATAAGTTCTTTTCTTGATTCTAATGACTTTCATTCAATTAATTCAGTTTTGCATTAACTACAAAACCCAGCAGAAGTGAACCTCCATTTCTGTGGAAGAGCGTGTTTCTGGGGAAAAAACACAATGCCATAAACTGTGTTTCCAATGGGTTAGAGAGGTGAGGGGGTGAACAGTTCCTGATGAGTACTTCTGTGAAGCGGTAACACTTGGAAAGTAGATGTTTCTAAGATCTTTTCATCCTGCCCGGTCTCCTGAAAAAGGATACACATGCACACAAACACACATGGAGAGGATCTGACCATGGCTCTTTTTTCAAGTCAGAGAAGATGTCATGGGATGTTAGTCCCTGGTGGACAAGGGTTTATATACCTCCCTCTGCTTGGTGCATTACTGGGCACTGCTTAGCAGCCATCTGTCCGTCTATCCTTCTGTCCATCTGTTCCTGTCACTGATGTTGCCTGAGTTAGCTCTCCACTCAGAGCCATTCTCACCCTGCTGAGTTTCATCTCTTCTTACAAATTCTTCCAAGGCTGCTGGTGGGGACTGAACTGTGCCACCCACATAGCCCCCAAAACTCATATATTGAAGCCCCAATCTGCAGTACTTGAGAACATGATTGTAGAATGAATGGGCCTTTAAAGAAGTAACTTAAGTAAAACGAGGCCATAGGAAGCTCTGATTCAAAATGACTAGTGTTCTTGTAAGAAGAGGAAGAGATCCCAGGGATGCAGGTACATAGACAGAGGACCGTGTGAGGACACAGTG